GGACGAAGAGGAGGCGGAGGAGGAGCATGAGAATAATGGGGAGGGGGAGACAAGCTAGGTGCGCTCGCGTCATATCTGACGTCTGGCCCCTCCATCCCATACCTTACCATGGCGTATATATCCTCTCTATTCGTACAGTCGGCTGTCGAGCAGAGCAATGAACGCGAGAGGGTACGCAACGCATGGTAGAGCACGGCATGGCATGGTGTAGAAGAGCACGTCATAGCGTAGCATGCCGCAACATCGCGTGGCATTGTGCAGCGAAGCATTGCACCACACAGCATTGCAATGCACAGCGGGGAGAGGGAGGGAGGGAGGGAGGGAGGGAGGGAGGTGGGATGGGAGGGATAGGGGAGGGAGGGAGGAGGGAAGGGAGGGATGGGCGGAGGGAGGGAGGAGGAGGGGGAGGGAGGAGGTGGAGGCTCGAGCAGGCTCGAGGAGGGAGGAGGAAGAGTGGCTGGGGGGTGGAGGAGGTGGAGGCGGAGGAGGAGGAGGAGGAGGAGGAGGAGGTGGGGAGGAGAGGAGAGATGAGGAGGAGAGCACGTGGTACGCGAGGAGAAGGAGGAGGAGGTGCGGAGGAGGATGGAGGAAGGAGAAGGAGGAGGAGGAGGAGGACCAGGAGGACCAGGAGGAGCAGCAACGAGGCGGAGGAAGGAGGATAACCAGGAGGAGGAGGAGGAGGAGGAGGAGGAGGATGACCAGGAGGACCAGGAGGAGCAGGAAGGAGGAGGAGGATGAGGAGGAGGAGAATGAGGAGGAGGAGGAGGAGGAGGAGGAGCAGGAGGAGCAGGAGGAGGAGGGCGAGCACGAGGACGAGGAGAATGAGGAGGAGGATGAGAAGGAGGAGGACCAGGAGGACCAGAAGGAGCAGGAAGAAGGGGGAGGAAGGAGGAGAACCAGGAGGAGGAGGAGGATGACCAGGAGGAACAGGAGGAGCAGGAAGGAGGAGGAGGAGGATGAGGAGGAGAGGAGGACGAGGAGGAGGAGGGGGAGGATGAGGAGGTACAGGGGGAGAGGAAGGAGAGGAGGGAAGGAGGTGAAACAGGAGGAGATTACAGGGCGGACAAGGTGGAGGTGCAGGGAGGAGGTAGGAGGAGGAGGAGGAGGTGGAGGTGGAGGGGACGGAGGAGGAGGAGGAGGAGGAGGACGACGAGCACGAAGACGAGGAGAAGGAGGAGAAGGAGGAGGAGGAGGAGGGAGGAGGGAGGAGGGAGGGAGGAGGAGGAGGAGGAGGAGGAGGAGGAGGACCAGGAGGACCAGGAGGAGCAGGAAGGAGACCAGGAAGAGCAGGAAGGAGTAGGAGGAGGAGGAAGGAGGAGAATCAGGAGGAGGAGGATGACCAGGAGGACCAGGAGGTGCATAGAGGAGGAGGAGGATGAGGAAGATGAAGGAGGACGAGGAGGAGGAGGAGGAAGACGAGGGGGAGTTGGAGAGTGGGGATGGTAGACAGGGCGGGAGAGAGGACAGAGGGCCGACAGGCGGGCAGAGCCGCCTTGCATTTCGACGGAGCGCAGAGCAAGCAGGCATGAACCGAGAGCGGGAAGGGAAGCAGCGGTGAGGACACCAGGAGAGGCAGCCGTGGCTATCCCCATTGGCCTCTCCCTCGAGTTGAGATTGTGTAGTTTAGTGGTTTACGTTTTCACCGTTGCTGCACATGAGACTGGGTTGTTCGATCGCCCGCACAACAACAACAACTTGTCGTTCTCCCCGCCTTCCCCTCTGCAGATGCTCGTCAGTAGTTCTAGTCTCCTCCCTTCTCCTGGCCACGTCCTTTCGCGTTCCCACCCCTCCCACGGATGAGCATTTCACGCAGCACGTCGAACACTTGCGTTTTCATATGTCTGGGCGCATTCGGCCCGTTAATATGGTGTTTCGGTTGCACCTTTGGATAGAAGAGGACTCAAAGCAATGAGAGGGGATGGGTGGGAGGATTGGGATGCCAGGATGAGTATGAGTTAGGATCGTGTTTCTGGTATTGTTTGAGGTATGCTCAGGAGATCGAATCGCATATGGATTATGGCATGTGGTAGGAGGTTGCTGATGCAATGCTGCAGGATGTTGGTTCAAGTATTGGCTATGCTCTGACTTATGATATGGTCATGGTATGGTTGGTGGCGTCCACTAGGGCATGCCTTCGGGTATTGCTCAGGACCTGAAGTATCATAGTACGTTGCATACTGTTCAGGATCGCGTTTGGGATATTGCTGATCAGGTTGTTCAAGGTATTTCCCCATTATTGGGGTTCTTATGCTCTTCCCACCCGCGTCGCACCCGCGTTCACACACACACACACGCACACACACACACGCACACACACACACGCCTCGCCTCCTCACGCTTACCTCTCCTCGTCACTCCTCCTCCATGCTCGACATACACACAATACAGCCGCACACTTTTTTACCATCGGAAGAGGGGGTGTGCCCCGTGGCGACTTAAAGGGACAAGGGGAAAGCAAAAGGGGAGGGCGGGGGAGAAGGGGAAAGCATCCGCCACGCCGCTCACGAGGATCGTGTCCTGGCCCACCTGGGAGCGCTGCCGACGGCCCACCGATGAGCAATATCGGCGCACCCCTCACACGGATCGTTCCGGATCGCCCAGGCCCAATTCTCTGTTCCTCCCCAGCTCCGCCTCAAAGCGGGTTTCGGCTCAGGCCTCCATCGACGTTTTTCATATTTACATATTCTACATATCTAGCCGTGATGGTTCTCATCGGCAGTTTTCCCATGATGGTCATCGTCGGCATGTTCTTCCGTGGCGAAGGACGCGGCGGCGGATTCGACGGCGCCACCGTGGCCAGCAGGAAGCTGGCAAACCCATCCGTGGCCATTACGACGGTATCGACCAACACCACCGTGACCACCACGACGGTGACCAGCATCCCGACGGTGACCAGCAGCCCGACCGTGACCGTGAACACTACTCAAACAAGCACTACCATGGGTCCCACCACCAACAGTTTCAATACCTCTGGTTGGGGCGACTGCGTGCCGAAGGACCTCCCATGGTGGCCAACAGATAGTGGCAAGTGGAAAGTTTCCCGCAGTCGCAAGAGGAGACTGAAGCACAGCTGCGTGCGCACGTTGGGGCCGATGGGAGCCCTCATCGCCATCATTGGTCGAATCAGGGGTCCACCTTCGACGTCCATGACGTTCCAAATTTTTGTGAAGCAGAGTTCACGCCATCACGTCATCTTCGTGGAAGCAAATATGGACGTTATCACGCTGAAGGCTCGCATCCAGGACAAAGAGGGCACCCCGCCTGACCAGCAACGCTTGCTTTTTGCAGGGAAGCAGCTGGAGGACGACAGGAAACTCTTCGAGTACAACATCCAGAAAGAGTCCACGGTGCGCCTCGTCTCTCGCCTGCGTGGCGGTGCCCAGACAGGGCGGATATTTGGCCAGAATCAGCAGGGCCCCTTTCCCCCATCACATTAACACCCAACAGAAGCATGATCAGTTTTCCAGTGTTTCCCAGGGGCCTCGTTTTTTGGCTCCAGGCTCGCGCGCATTATTGCGGGTGCGTTTGGGCGCCAACAACAGGAAAACCACAACAGGAGGGGGCCCCAAATGATGGGGGAACGGTGCCCCTGCTGCTGGACAAGTGCAGTCGAAATCCATCGTTAGGGCGAGCGCCCTCCTCGAGGATACCCTTGCGTCTTGGCTTTCGGGGATCGTCCTTGGTGTTTTCGCTGGCCGGCTTCTCAAGGCACCCTGGGGGCTGCGACTTCAAGGGTCATGCGCCCGCCCTTCCGGTGGAGTTCGACTGCATGTACTCTTCAGGCATGCCGCGGCAAAGTGCCCCAGGGATCGCCCGAGACGAGGCGGCGGTGACGTTGGACGAGCCTGGCGCGTCCAGCGCGGGCGGCACCTGGCAATCGGGCGCAAGAGTTGCCTTCGCATTTGGTGGTGGCGGCGAATGGGCGGCAGTCGACAAGCTAGATCAGATGGCCCATCTGCGAGCAGCGTACAGATTGAAGCCCAAAACTTGGCTCACAGACGAATGCCTGCGCTTGATATCCAACGAGCTGTCGGCTTCGAGCCCGCCAAGGCCTTTGCAATGAATCCCACGCAGTGTTTCTGGATCCGAAACAATGCTTCTGTTTTTTGGGCAGGCACAGGCTCCTCCTCCTCCTCCTCGCCCTCCTCCCCCTCCTCCTCCTCCTCCTCCTCCTCCCCCTCCTCCTCCTCGTCCTCATCCTATCCTCCCTCCTCTCCTCCTCTCTCTTTATCTCCTCCTTTTTTTTCCCTTCCTCTCCTCCTCCGACTCTCCTTCTCCCCCTCCCCCTCCTCTCACCCTCCTACCCTCCTCCTCCTCCTCTCCTACCTCCCGTCTCTCCCTCGTCCTCCTCCCTCCTCCTCCCCCTCTCCTCCTTCTACTCCCCCCCCTCCTCCTCCCTCCTCCTCCTCCTCACTCCTCCTCTTCCTCCTCCTCCTCCTCCTCCTCCTCCTCCTCCTCCCTCTTCGCTCGCTCAGTCGCTTCTCGCCCTCCTCAGTGGGGGGGTGGCTGATTGCGCCGCCTTGGTCCGCTGCCACGCGGCGTCGCGGTGCTGGACGCTGCGTGCGCGCAGTGGGCGTCGCAGCTCGTCCACGCGGCCGCGGGGCCCGAGTGGCAGGCTTGTGTGGCAGAGTTGCGGATGCAGGTGGACGAGTCTGACCTGGTACTCGCTCCCGTTAGCGACGGGTCCCCGAGCTCTGTGGACGCGGGGACGCATTGGTCGCTCCTCGTTGGCTGGCGCGCCGAAAGGAGGAAATGGCGGTATCCAGTTGCCTGCGGCAAAGTCCGCCACGACGATGATGGTGATGGTGATGAGGATGATGATGGTTATGATGATGCTGCCGAAAGGAGGCCCCGCAATCATCATAAACCACAAAAACAATGGCCACATTATGACTTCGCGACAAATCCCAATGCGAGACACAATCGTTACCGTGTCCAGCTGGTAAGGTTAGGAAGGGTAGTCCTCGGGGTCCACTCCGTCGGTTTGGCCCACATGGGGTCGCTGGAAGCCGAAGCAAGCGTCGGTGGCCCTTTCCAGGAACGCAGAGCAGCGCGTCCAGAGGGGGGTATTTAGGAAATGACCAGACACCCTACCAGAGAGCACATGGCATTCTCGCGCGCCTCCACGTGCCAGGGGCCACGGTGGCGGATTGCCATTTGGATTCTATGGCGCCTTCCAACGCACGGCACGGGGCGGCCATGGCGACTGCGCTCTTCGGCAAGGACGCCCTCATCGAGCTCGTACAATGCGCCAAGCAGTCCAACGGGTACGATTGTGGGGTTTACGTTGCCCGATTTGCGATGGAGGTGCTGCAAGACCTGCTTGCCGATGACGATCAGGTGGCCTGTAACTTTGACCGGGCCAAGAGCTGGCGGGTTGCCGTTGCCCTGGTGCGGCCAATCGACATTGCGCATCTTCGCACTGATCTCCAATGCAAGCTGCTAGAGGCGGGGGCGCTGCCGTGCGTCCTTCTGCCTGGGCAGGAGAAGAGCGCTGACAGGTATTGCAGCAGCTGCGGCGGCGCCGTGGACAAAACTACCAAGACATGCGTGAACCCTGCGTGCACCGAGTGCCCTCCCCCGCCCGTGCCGCCGACGCAGCCGCCGAGGTCGAGTCGCGGCAGAGGGCGAGGGCGAGGGCGCGGCAGGCCCGTCGACGACGCAGCTGCCGCAGGAGCTCCTGTGCGAACTCCCACGGCTGCGTCTGGTAGCAGGAAGTGTGGTTCCAGGCGTCAGGGCCCGACACGGTGCGGGGTGTGTGGCGAGCTGGGGCACAGGCGGGAGACGTGCCCGCTTCGTGAGGACGGCCCGCTTCCGCTGCAGGGCGCGCGCGGCAGTTCTGCGCCCGAGACGTGGTCGAACAAGTACTCGTACGGCCATGCCAAGAAGGTCGGTGGCAACGTTTTCAGGCAGCTCAAGCAAGAGAGCTACGATGACATTGTCAGGTTGCCACTTCTGTTTGTGGGCGGGGTGGCGGCGGCGGCGGCGGTGGGCCTGCGCGCGGGCCGGGGGGGTGGGGAGGTGGAGGAGGCGGCAGGGAGGGGGAGGAGGTGGAGGAGGAGGAGGCGGGAGAGGAGGCGGAGGAGGAGGAAACACAGCACGAGCGGGAGGGGGAAGAGGAGGGGGAGGAAGAGGAGGAGGAAGAAGACGAGAAGGATGATGAGGAGGAGAATGAGGAGGAAGGTGGGGAGGAGTAGGAGCAGGAGCAGGAGTAGGAAGACGAGGACGAGGAGGAGGAGGAGGAGGAGGGGATGGGAAACGTTGGTGCGTGCCTTGGGTTCGTGCCCTCCTCTCCTCCTTCCCGCCCTCTTTCCCTCCTCCGTCGTCCGCTGCTGCTGCGCCTCCTCCCTCCGCCTCTTCCTCTCCCTCCTCCTCTCTCCTCCTCCCGCCCTTCTTTTTCCGCCCTGGTGGAGCCGCCGTGTTTCAAGGGGATTTCGTATCGCAGTGGACTGTTTCACTTCGGGCGCGCATCGAAGACTTGCTTCGAGCGTAAAAAAACCGCTGGCGGTGTGGCGGTGCAAATTTAAGTGCTTCGCCTTGGCCGCCCCGCGGTGCAAATTTAAGTGCTTCGCCTTGCCGTTTTGTTGGCTGTTTCACTGGAGGTGCAGTTGTTCGGTGCCAACATGCAAAATGTAACCATCCTCACACCTTGAGGGGCGCTCGCATGCTCACTGGTTGCCTGTGCTTCTGCTTGTCGAAAAAAAAGAAGTAAGTGTGTGTGTGTGCGTGTGTGTGTGTGTGTGTGTGTGTGTGTGTGTGTGTGTGTTCCAGGACCCGCATGTGGGCGCAGGACCGCGGTACCTGCACGAAGGATCCTTATCCCCGCGCGCCTGGCGGAAACCATGACAGCAGCGCGGCTGGATCACCGCAAGCATGCAGCGTAAGAAGATGATGATGGTGATGCTGACACGGCTGATGATGATGATGATGACGATGCTGATGATGATGATGGTGATGATGATGACCTCGACCTCCTTGTCAGCTTCCGCTGGCATTTGCGGGCCGAGTTTCGTGACATGTTCGTTGCGCGCTGACGCGCCGAGGAGTTATTCAATGCCGCGGAGATGTGACTCACGACCGGCTTTTTCTCTGGGCACCTCCTCTGTGTCTGCAAGGCATCATCGTCATCATCAGCATCGTCATCATCATCATCATCATCAGCGTCATCATCATTGTCATGATCATGATCACCATCATCGTCATCCTTATCACCATTATCAACATCATTATCATCATCATTATCATCATCATGTCCACCGTCATCGGCAACATTTCCATCTGCATCATCCTCAGCCTGCATCGCCGTCATCACCAGCATCATCATTATCGTCATCATCATCACCATCTGCATCATCACCATCACCAGCATAATCGTCATCGTCATCGTCAGCATCATCACACCCTCTTCTTGAGGAAGTCCCAGGCGGGGCCTCGTCAGTGAGTGATTTGTGAGGAAATTTCCGCTGGGAGCCACCTCCGAATGGGGGTCGCGCCCCATGTTGCAATCTAAGGAGGCCATCTGACATCTGCAACTGTCGTCACTGTTGGGCCCCCGAGGCTTGAACCTTGAGGGAGTCTCAGGCGGGGTCCTCGTCTGTGAGTGGGATGCGAAAAAGTTTCGAACGAGAGCCCCCTCCCTGTGAGGCCCGCACCCCATGATTGTAATCACTCGGGGTATCTGAAACTTGTAATCGACGTCACTCTTGGGCCCACGAGGCTTGAATGTTCAAGGAGTCTCCTGCGGGGTGCCCACGCGGTGTCTTGCAGTCGGACTATTTTTGGACGACGATGGTGGCGATGTTGATGGTGGTGCTGATGGTGGTGCCCTGCGCATTGGGAACAACATGCCTCGGCTCGGTGGGCCTGTGCCAGTGTTGTCCTCGGACCCCCTGTTGGGTTGGACTCTGCGGGCGGGGTCTAGCGCACAACTCACAAAGACGGGCGGCTGGGTCCCCTGCCCCAGTCGAATTGCGGGCGCTATCACATGTAGCCATCGCATACAGACGGCTAGGCGGAGGATATGCAGGAGGATAATGTGTATGATAATGATGAGGAGGAGGAGGAGGAAGAGGAGGAGGAGGAGGAGGAGGAGGAGGAGGAGGGGGAGGAGGAGGAGGATGAGGAGGAGGAGAAAGAGGAGGAAGGGGGGGGAAGTGGGAGCGGTGGCTCCAGAGCTTCGCTGTGTGCAGCCACCCGTTCGCGGAACCTTCCAGTCAATGCTTGCGTCTCTTTCAGCAGCCTCCTCGATCATGGACTGGGCATCAGCCGCAGGGCCAGTCAGCAGCGGGGGGGCCTGGAGGAAGGCAGATGTGAGCGACGCAGGAAAACGTGTTTGACTATGCCGATCTTGGCGCGTGAGCCGCCCGCGTAAGGTCGCGCTTAAGCGTCCTCGTTTCCAGCGTGGCGTGCCGCGCTGGAGGTCCTGGGCGTCCCGCGGCCTCCTGGACCTCTCTGGGGTTTCTTGAGGCTGTCTCAAGCGAAACGGCCAAAACCATAACATTTGTGCGAGGATGTCTCTGCTCCGCCTTTCCTCGGCCGGAGTTAGTTTCTATCACAACAGCACCCCGTTCAGAAGGCTGTTTGGGGGAAATCATGATGATGCTGATGCTGACGCTGATGCTGATGATGCTGCCGATGGTGATGATGATGTTGCTGATGGTGATGATGATGATGATGATGATGATGATGATGATGATGATGATGATGATGCTGATGATGATGATGATGATGATGATGATGATGCTGGAGATGCTGGGTATGATAATGATGATGAGGAGGAGGAGGAGAAGGTGGAGCAGGCGGAGAAGGAGGAGGAGGATCACTTCAATATTCTCAAATGTTCGCCTCCGAGGTTGGATCAGATGGGGGCGGTCGCAAAGCTGAAGGGATACGGGTTCCTTCCGCCGGTTCCACCTGACGGCCGTCGAGTGTGCTATCGAAGACGCCTGCGGCGAATCGCCGCCGCCCCCTTGGCCATTCTGGGCGTCTTGGAGGCCTCTAGGCGTCTCGGAGGCTTCTGGGGCCCTTTTGGGGCCCTCTTGGGGGCATCTTTGATGCCGTCTG